CTTTCAATACTTATTCAAATAGGTTAAAGAATTTAATCGATTAATTTGTTCTTTAGCTGTTTTAGAAACTAGATTCTAAACCCTATATGAGAGAGAGATTCTTTGTGTAACCCTGATTCTACAATGGCCTCTTCATCTTATTCTCACCGTGGTAAAAGAGCTGCACCATCTGTGAGGCGTGCCAGTCCCAATGGATGGATTAGTGATGAAGAAACTCTGTCAAAATTCATGTGCTACATGAAACTAATGGAGGTAACTTCTCACATGTTTTTGAATCTGCAATTCTTTAGAAATGAAGGGTTTCTATTTCAAGAGTGGCTAGCGTATCAAGGACTTGGAAAATTTGTTCAAATGACAGGGCTACTATCCAAACCTTGTAGAAGTGTTCTATGCAAATCTGAAAGTTGAAAAAAGTTTCATCTGCTCAAGAGTGAAAGGCATTAATGTCAAAATTGATGAAGAAATGAGGACTTCTTTTGTTGGTCTCAAAGCAGAGGGATACAGGTCACACTTAAGCACTTCTAATATAAGCAAAATGGACATCTATAAAGACTGTTTAAGATTTCCAAATAGGCCAAGGGCTTTCTCTCTTTTCCTGAATGGAGGCATGAAAAGAGAAGAAAGATTATGTGCATTTGTACTAGCTTGGATAATATTACCTGGAAAAGGTAATCATGATCGGTTAACAACTAAAGATGTATATTTGATCCATGCCGTGAGAACCAGAATACCAACTAACTAGGTATCAGTCATTAGTGATCATATGATCAACATAGCAAAACTACATACACATTGTCTGCCTTATGGTGTATCCATAAGCAATGTGTTAAGGCAATATCACATTGATATCACTGGTGAAGTCAAATTGGGATGCAACAAAGGTGAATGAAATATGGAAACCAACACTACACCATATAAGACTAAAGAAAAATGAAGATGGTTGGGTATTCAAGGATGAGCGTTTGCCTATAATGGAAGAAACTATACCTTCAAGTGTCGATGAAACTCCGTATAGTTTCATGCCAAAAATTGAGTTTGAAAAATTTGTTGTAGATCAGTTCCAAAGACATTCAACAAAGCTCTCAAAAATTGAAAAATCGGTGACCAGAATTCACAGGAAAATAGATGAAGCATTGGAAAACAATGTTTTTGGAAAATCTTCAGAGGATGGTACAAATGATATTGAGGACCAAACGGAAGACGAGTTTATGGAAATCTCAGACTTAGATTAGGAAATATAGTCTAGATTAGGTCCTGTTTTGGTTCTGATTTTGTTTTTGATTGGATTATTGTAAATTTGGCCATAAGGCCTTATCTTCTGAACAATATTACTCTATTTCTATTTTGAGCTTTACTAGTTAAATGAAATATTATGTTTGATTTCATATGTTGTGTTTACTTGTTACATGCTTTCTGATCGAATGATTGGATGAAATCTGTGTGAATGATTGAATCTGTTGTGTATGAATGCAATATGATATTTTTACTGTCATATACATCATTGCTCATTCATACTCATTTGATATCTCAATTGCATCACAACTGTTGATTATTTCTGGACTAACACTCAACATCGTTGAGAAAAGTTGTGTTATGCAGGTTTGATACTGATTTTGAAAGCTGTAATGATCTTATCAGTGTTACTGAACACCTTCGCGAAATGTAATCGATTACAAAGGATATTTAATCGATTAACATTTGCCCAGCAAGATTTTAGTCGAATAGATTATGAACATAATCAATTAAAAATCGTTTCATTGGTTTGTATATTTATATCTGCTGAGGTAACTGCTTAACATGGTCAAACTGTTATTTTATAAAAATTGTTTCATTGGTTTGTATCTCATTATAAAATTAAGTAATATATCATCACAAACAAAAAAACTTAAATTTTAAAAAAATTATTATTTTTTAAATAATTATAAACAAAAATATTTATTTCAAATTAAATTTAAATAATTCAAATATTTATATAATTATAAATTCCTGATATTTCATTCAAAAAATTAACAAAATATCTTAAATTTTTTAAAAAAAGTTAAAAACTATAAAACAAATCAAACTATAATTTCTATAAAATTAAAAAATTCAAATAAATATTAAATATTTACAAACTAATTATTTCATTCAAAATAAATATAACTAATTCAAATATTTATGTAAATAATTAATAAAACAATTTAATTAAAATAAATATGAAAAAACTGTAAAAAATAATTCAAAACAATAAAATTTAATCAAAATATAAAAAAGTAATTAATTAAAATTGTTGAGATTGTTGATAGGGGGAGCAAAGGTTTTAGCTCAATCCACAATCTTAGTATTATCTGAGTTTTTTATGATGACAACACATAATTAATAACACAGGTATATTTTGTGTTACATGTTCCATATTTACATGTTATATGCTTTTGATAACTGTGTTAAATTTGTTCAAGCATATAAGAGAAGATGTTTGTGTTGTTCATTGCATATCATTGTGTTACATATGTGTTTTTATGTGTGAATGCATGACATTTGATGTTGAAAAGGAAAACCACAAGCACTTATGTTAAACATTAAATGTGCGACAAAACAACATTTTTAAGTCGACTTCATTATGGGGTGAATCGATTAAAACTCGTGTCTTTGCACAAACTATTTTCAAATGTGCTGTGAGAGTTTTCAAAGAGAAAGTTTTTCAAAACTATGCTTAACACTGTTGCATAATCGATTGCATGTGTGCTGTATTCGATTAAGTTAGTTATTGTTTTGAGATACCGTTAATGCTTGACATAACTGTCTAATGGTCATATTTTTTATTGTGTTGACCAAGCATTAAATGATAGTCGACTACATTAATTGCGCATTCAATTAATTGCAGTGATTGTTGGTAACTGTTATAACAGAATTGTTGTATTCGAATGCATTAGTAGTTAAGTCGATTAAAATGCGTCTGAGATGAGTTATTCTATAAATTGACGCAAATTTGATTTCTGTAAGAACTTTTGTGATTCTAACATTTTCATACCTTTTGCAGAAAGCTGTGATCTTACATAGAGTAAAGAAAAGCTCCAAGAAACAAGAGTGACCGTAGTGATCAACTACTTGTGATTTCTTGAAGAGCAAGATTGCTGTGTTTTTCAAAGGCTGATCAACTTGCACATTTGGGTGTCATTGAGAGATCAGATTCTACAATCTTTTGAAGATTGGTTTGAAGTTCCCTATTGTGATTACAGGAAGAAGAGCGTGCAATATTCTTGACTTTGAGAGTATCTCAAAGGGTTTAGACAACAGAAGAGGGGATTCTTATTGCTGATCTTGTTGTGTATTGTCTATATTTTGATTAGAGGGTTAGAGAAGTGTTTTATATTTTTGACGTGTAGTCGCTATAAAAGCCTTATTGTAATTGATCATTATAGTGCATTAGCTTCTTGGAAGGACACTAGATGTAGGCTTGACCGAACCCGTATAAAAACATAGTGTTTGAATTTTATCATCCCTACTCTCTTTATTTAATCGATTACGTTCTGCATTTATTCGATTAAATTTCCGCTGTATTGAAAATTTTTTACCTTGCGATTCAAGAAAAGTATCAAGGCATCATTTTTGTGAAAATGATTTTAAAAATTTTTATTTTTACATTTCACCAATTCACCCCTCTCTCTTAGTGTGTGAGAAATTGAGCCCTTCTATTTTAATAAAAATAAATATAAAAACACTAAAAAAATAATTTAAAAACATTAAATTTAAACTTGAAATTTATGTAAAATTAAATCATTAAAATAAAATATAAAAAAATCAAATAATTAAATAGGATTTTGAAACGCGATATCGGATGTTGAAAACTGATTCGACTTCTATCGGATTTTGATATTCGATATAAACTTAATCAATTTTCAACATTTGATATAGTCTTTTCGTGTTTCAAAAACTGATTCAGTTATTCTAGTTGCAGATCAGTTATTACCTTGTCCAAAACACGTTGTAATCATTCAAATCCTAACTCTACAGTCTTATTCTATATCTAGAAAAATACTATAAAATTGAAAACAAATAAAACAAACCAAACGCATCAATCTTTGAGTAGCGAAATCAGAGGAAAGAAGAGCAACACAAATGGAGAACACGAAGAACAGTGTGTGTCTGAATCCACGAATGAAACGAAGTTCAACCTGCAAGAAGAAGAAGACAAAGTTGGCTGTGTGTGTCTGAAAACAAAGCAGAGAGTGGAAGCAGAGCAAAGAATGGAGGCAGAGATTACCGAGACGAAAGAAAGGATGAAAGGAGAGAAAGTGAAATCCAATGCAAAAAGAGAAAGTGAGTTCTACAAGAAATATGAAAGCGTGAACAATGAAGCAGAGAGAAAGCGGTTTTAAGAATCTTTAACTAGATTCTTTTTTGAGTTTCCCTAACAATTCAAGTTATATCATATTAAGAGAAAAGAAGGGGATGATAAAGAATAATTATCTCGTTGACGTAAAAGTAACTGATTCCTCTCATAATAATATTATATTAAATTTTATTGCATTATTTTAGAATAACACATTAATCTACAGTAAAATATTTTGTTTTTAATATAACAGAAAAAATACGGTATTAATCTAATAATTTTAATTTTAGTAATTCTATTGGACTGAATATGTGTTTTATCTTTATAATTATCATATATATTTTATTAAAGAAGAAACCAATATAGAGATATAATTAATCATAGAAAAATTACTAAAAATTTTAAATTTATAAAACCAAAGCAAAAAATAAAAAACTTCCTATAATTTAACTCCATTTTAACAAAATTAAAAATTTTGTACCCCAACTATAATTTTTTTTTCTTATCATACTAAAAACAAAATATGTAATACTTGTCACTAAGAAAAGACTGGGTTTTGAGAAACCAACAAATTTAAGTTAGTTGATGTATAGTTTTATTAAAAGAAAACTTAATGTCTCTATTGCATTCAAAGGCAATGTTTTAAATAAAAAAACGATCTTATGCCAGTAAAATATTTTAAGAAATGACATAAGAAAGTATTAAATAGTTATTACCAAAAGAAGATCATACCAAACTCAACACAACAGAGTTTCAAATGAGTGATTAGCCAGCATCATCCACTTCTTCAGCTTTTGCTTTATCTTATACCAGTAAGAAATAACACAAGAAAGTTTTAAAATGGTATATCTATTGAAGTTACTGGCAAAAGAAGATCATTCCAAACTCAAGACAACAGAGTTTGAAATGAGTGAGTGATTAGCCTTTTGGTTTATCTTTATGATTTATGAATGAGTTAAGATGATCTGTTTTTCCATTGTACTATTGCCAAGGTATGTCTGCCACCACAGGCAACAAGTTTGGCTATCCAATGTCCCTCAGCTTCAGTGGCAGTGAGGTTGTGTGGAGGAGGAAGGTTTATAGGTACCTCCATTGGTTGACCAGTCGTCACTTTCCTACCATATCCAAGACGTCCATGGTCACCTCTACCAAACTGCAAACAGTTCAACCCAACAAATAATATGCTTAAATCACTGTTTTTTAATTCATTCAAAATCTCCATTTTCTTAATGCACACTAGCAAGAACAAAGAAGAAAAGAAGAGTCCAGATTCTATACTGGGTTTTTTGATATTGTTCTCTGCTGGGCATTAACAATACATTGGTACTTTAAAAATCTTTTTATATATTTTAAAACATCAAAATCAGTGTCTATTAGTATATATTTTTAAGGTACAGCAGAGGATCAGCACAGCAAAAATCCAATAGAGAATCCAAATTCAAAAGAGAAGAGAACAAGAGGATACTGAATTTCAAGTGTTTATATTTTCAGACATGTATCACAATACATCACTACTGACTGCCTAACATAAAACACAAAACCACACATTTTAAGGATAGGTTGAATTGCAATGTTGAACCCTTTAGTTAGTGATAAGGGATTCCAGTTCTCCTATTTTTCTTGTGATTATAGTCATTCCATTTTGGAAAATCACAACTTTTGGTTCAATCTTTAATATTTAATTTTGCATACGTTTTATTTCTTTTATTTTGGTCCAATTGAACATTAGATCTAGCATGTTCAGTCAAAGTCCTAAACAAATACTTTAACTGTCACTTATTAAAACCTGAAAATAAGACAAATAATGGTAAAACGTGTTCAGTCATTCTGAACTTTGTAAATTCAGTTTTAATCTGTAAAAAATTTTGTCCATTTTTAATAATACTTAATTTTGAAAGGAATCAATGTTAGTCCTTGGTGATTTAAATAACGCTAAATAAGAAAAATGGCTTAGTGTTTGAAGAACCAAAAGTAGTGCATTTAAAAATAAAGGAAAAAAAGGCTGGCTTAGTTACCTTTTAGTTATATTATTCATTCATTTGTTTATTCTTGTTCAATTTAATCCCTTTCTTAATAAAAGATTCAATCAAGTATCTAAATTTTAAATATATAAGTGTTAACTATTTAATATTCAATCAGGTCCCTCAAATTTTTAAAATAAAACAGTAAGGCTCTTTCGTGTGTTGAAATTGATATATGGATTTTATAAACTGTCTATATGGGAATTAAAATCTACAGTATTTGTTTACTAACTATTTTAATGTTAATTGGGTTAAAATTGATCACAATATTACGTTTTAAAAGATTGAAAGACTTAATGGAATATTTTACCAATAAGAAGACAAAATTGAATAATTAATATATTAAATCTGTTTTTGAATGATTCTATATGACCAAATCATAGAAAAGAGAAACAAAGATGGCATAGAAAATACTTACAGAAAACATGCGGCCATCGCGGGTTAATGCCACTGAGTGAGTACCTCCACAAGATACCTGACAACAAATCAATAATCTTCATATCAGAAAAATGATTACCCATAAAATTTCCTCCCTTAAAGTGTCATGATTAGTACAAGATATGAAGCAACAACAGGTTCATGTGATGTGAGAAGTTAAATATACATCTTCAGAATTAAAATAGTTTTAGATATTTTGGTTCTTCATTTTGGAGCATCAATGATGTCAAAGTTAAAGGCTAGAAATTTTTTGTCGACATTACCAAGCCATGACACTAATGCACTATGTTTTGTTAGTGTAGAAAGAAAAAAAAAAAAGTACCTGCACAATATCTTCTCCAGCCAAAAGTTGAACCTTCTGGGGTACCATTTTACTGCTCTTGTCACTATCACCAAACCCAAGCCTGCCATGTTCCCCCCTTCCCCAGCCATATACCTGAAATGATGTTAACAAAGATAAAATTATAGCCAAATCACCACAAAAATATTAACAGAAACAAAAAGACCAGACAGAAGGAAAGAGTGGTAGTATTAAGTATCAAATATCAACAAAGAAACAAAAAGACAACTGAAAGGTATGGCCCCTCTTACTCCTTTACTACATAGGAACCTATAACTCCATGGAGAATGACCACTTGCATCCAATGGGCTTGTGATATGTTCAAGGGAAACATTTATGTTAGAAGAAATAAGAGGGACAGACGGGTTGGGTTTGTTGTATCAGACTATTATACAGTCTGTTTGGAAGGATGTTTTCTTTAGTTTTCGTCATTCTTGGTATTCCTGTAAAGAGATAGGTGAGGAGAGTCTGGTCCTCTCGAAAGACCAAAGGACTGTGTTGTGTTTGGTTCCTCCTCATTGGTGAAATCCTTTGGTGTTGTTCTAATAAAGACTCCAAGATTTTGTGGGTTTATTTGTATCAGGTCTGAATACCTATCAGCTTGCAATTTAGAGGAAGATGAACAAGGGACAGAGTTTCATTCGGTAAAGCTGCACACTTAGTTAACAAGTAAACTGGGGTGAATGTGATGCATAACAAGGCCCAACGTGGAATGGTTTGCATAAGATGAATATTATGGGAAAGTTAGAAGAAGACAACTGACTCGAGGGACTAGAACTAATCAGGCAACAAAAGTAAACGGGATTTGTTAGGAACCCATAATTGAAAAGAGAAAGAAGAGTAATAGTCTTTATTTTATAGACCAAAAAGAACACACAAATAGGAGACCACTCTCTCCTCCAAGGGTTTCCCCTTCACAAAGAGCTAAAGCTCAATCTACAAAATTATCCAAAAGTGCCTAGCCTACCAGGACCTCCAACTATATAAAGGAAACCTCACTCACCCTAAAAAAATAACTAACAACTACTCCTTAATTTGTTTCCTCCTATCATACACATTATATCCTATCATTACACGCCGCTATAGAACAACCTTGTCCTCAAGGTTGGAACAGTGAAGCTTGATCCCATGGCTACAGCCTGCAATTTCAGATCTGGAGGCTTGGGTGGTGGTTGACATGAGAGTGGCTTTTGTATACCAGATTCTTAACCCAGTAATGTGGAATCCCAAAATTCCAATGTCATTGATGTTCCAATCATTATCACTGTTAGGATATTTATCCTATTTTATCATCATTATAGTGTGTCAAGGGTTACCCTATTTATCATGATTATATTGTGTCTAGGATTACTCTATTTATTATGTACTTTTGTATCAATTTATTCTTATAAATAAAAGATCATGAGAGGCATCAATCAAGCCCTCTAGAATTATTTTACAGTTTAATTCTCAAGTTGGTATCAGAGCAGGTCGATCCCGCTCTGGTTTCTGTCTCGTAATATCTGTCCGGCGCCACAGTCTGTCGCCGCCCGTCACCGTCCGCCACTGCCCGCCGCCGGCCACCGTCGTCCGTCGCCGGCCACCGTCATCCATCGCTATCACAGTTCCGTTCGTCTAAACCCTTAGGGTTTTCTTGTTCCTCGCTGGTACTATTCGTCTTCTTC